GGCCTTTGGCTCGAGCCGGCCGACGTCGCGGCTTTTCTTCGTCTCCCAACTGCACCTATTTTTGACTCCGGTGGGGACTCCTGAGCCAGCAAGCGTTACCAATCAACCAACCAACAACTGACGAATAACGGAAGTGCTGGTTATAGTAAGCATGTGGTCGCATGGCAGCAGCATCCTACAAATACTGCCCCCTCCCCTTCATCTTCAATTAACCTTAATTACAACTGTATCTGATTCGGGTAGTAATCTGAGACGTCTGGTAAATAAAATTCTTGTTACAGGGGTCGCATGTCCCACCTTTCTTATTGCCAACATGGGGTCAAGGTCAAGAAGAGTAATCAAAATTGATGCGAAATTCCCTTTTAGGTTTGTCAGTGGTTCTCTGACTTGTACAAATGATAAGGCGGGAAGTCTGATAACTGTGCGAGGAGCAGGACGCGTGTACCACGAATAGACGGGCTGTTCGCTGTGTCGGAGCTCACCCCCGGTCTTCCTGAATCTGTCTTACCTCCGAACCCGGATTGGCGAGGGAAGGGAAACTGCGACAGGAGCAGTACAAGTCTGCTATCACCAGTAATTAGTTAAAGTGCAATTCGCCGTCCTACGTCCAACCTGTCGTGGGGCACACGGTGAGCATAGTCGTTCGCGATAATCGAACCGTCATTTGAAAGGACTCTGATCATGTCTGACCCAGCAGACCACACTGAAGTCCCGTACCACTTCCTCTCCAAGTGTGACGATCAGCCGCAACGATATGGCGGGCTCGAACTCCCTCCCTAACCTTTTCCAGCAACTGCAACTAAACAGGGAAGGTTTAAAAACAACCACCGTGTCCTGACAGACTGTGCTTAGTCAGATTTTGAGTTGAGTTCTTCTTCGAAGCTTCGAGGTGAGCGGCGACGGCGCCGGATCAAAGACAGAAGGGGTGAACTCGTGGAAAGGATAGTGAAGGACGAGCCCAAACCGCCCTAAGTGTCTTTCTGAACGACAGGAGAGCTCGTCACAACGTCCTCGTACAACAAATGCGGACTGTTTCATGGAAGTCGGTATACTTCACTCGGCAGAAGATTATCAGTCCAGAGAGTTGCCTTCTGGTTCGAAATGCACTTCCTGTAGACGAGAACTCGGACACTACTCGTACGAGGGAAGGTGTTGATCGCCCAAACACACCGTCTAGCCGTAGTAATCAACGGAACCGGACGCCGCTGTGATGAAAACATTACAGACGATATTCTGTCGATGATGGTTATATTGCAATCTGAAGGTATGCCATAGTGCGAAAACTTGGTCAATGTGCACTCTGTTGAAGAGCCAGAGAACCGCCAGTGACATTAAAGGCATATTCTAGGCAGAAATGATTGCGTACGGACCCAGTTTTGAGGATTAAAGGTACATATGAAATCGTTTCACCTAGGACTTAGGACAATTCGACTGTCGATTCCGACTATGTCCACCGTGTTATCCACAGCATGTTGGTGCATAGACGGTGACTTAAAACGTGGATTAGTTTTAAGTGATACTAGACTTGCGTTGCATCTACTGCGCTAACTCCTCCCTTCACCCACCCGATCCCAGTGTCAAGAAGACCGGAGGTGGGATCGGGCGCAGGCGGCTGGAGCCGCCAAGCCTGACCCAGATCTCACGGGGTGGGAATGTCCTAAAGGCAACGGATGGCTGATGTCTGAGTCTGCACCTACTTAGGACTTATATCAGCAGGTACATAACACTAACAATTCGGCGAGTTCAGTTACGAAG